GAGGAGACAATTCTGCATAGCCTCCCTAGTATAACCAGTGTCTGTCTGAGGCAGCTGTGGCGTGACCAGTCCCATCAAGGGTTTCTGCCCTTCTGTGGGTCGTAACAGAGAAGAGAAATGGAAAAAGGAAAAGAGAATGCACTTTTTAAAACGTGAGAACTTACATGTCTGTATACAGACCCTGGGCTTAACAAGGGGCAAAGAGTTGGTTATATTTTTCCCCACGGTTTTTGGCTAGTATGAATAAAACAGCTATGAATATTCAAGTACAATTGTTTGAATGGGCATATGTCTTCATCTCTCTGAGGGTGGGATTGCTGAGTTGTAGGTGTGTATTTAACCTTGTAATGAGCTGTCAGACTCTTCCCAAGAGGCAGTGTTTTGCATTCCCATCAGTAGTATGTGTGAGTTTCACTTGCTCCCCGTTGATTGCAGAACTTGGTGTTGTTGATTTTTTTTCTTTTTAGCCGTCCTAGTGGGGATGGAGTGGCTTCTCATTGTGGTTTTACTTTGCATCTCCTGGATGTCTAATGATGTTGAAAATGTTTTCACATGCTTACTAGCCATTTGTACATCTTTTGGAAAGTGTCCGTCTAAATTTTTTGTTCATTTTAAATTGGGTTGTTTGTTTTATTATTGAGTTGTAAGAATTATTTATATACCGTGAGTATAAATACTTTGTCAGATGTGTGTTTTGTGAATATTTTTTTCCAGTCAGTAGCCTTGCATTTCTATCCTCTTCATTTAGAACTCATTTTGAAGAGTTTTCAATTTTGAGGAAGCCTAGTTCAGTAATTTTTTTTCTTTTATAGTTATTGCTTTTTGTGTCCATTGGAGATATCATTGCCTATCCCAAAGTCATAAAGTTTCCTTCTATCTTGGAAATTTTGAAGCAGGCATTTTCTAACAGGTATTGACTCTGTTGCAGGGTCGTGTAAACTTGAAAATTAATAAATAGCCAAAGTTATAGCCAGACATAGAATCATGGTTATAAGTTGAAGATAGTGATTTGAACAATTTCAGCATCAGAAACAGGTATTTCCCAAATCAGCAAATCACCTCCATCACATGAAATTTCTAGCCTGTCAGCAAACAGTGAGGGCCATCACTGGAACTGAACCTGTGGCCATTGTGCTTGTGCATGGCAGAGAACCAAAGGAGGATAGAGGAAAACCAAAACTGAAATCAAGGCAGCTATGATACAAATCTGACAATGGGCTCTGCTAATGTGGGAGTGCCAAGGGATAGGTAAAAGCAAGCGTGTATTGTTTATAAGTTGCATATCTATTTATTCTCAAATTAACATTTATATACTACGCTTTAAAACATTAGTAATTTTTGTTTTGTAATGAAAATTATTCAAAGATTTAATCACTCAAGGCTTGAAGTAGAGCGAGCTGATTTGAGAATACCAATCAACTTCTAACAGTTATAAGTAACTTGTGCAGTCCTTTACCGAGGGACATAAAGGGCCTTATTTGCTTCTAACATAGAACTTAGAGCAGATAACTTTGAAACCAGAGGGCAAATCATGATATTTCTTTGCCATCCAGGGTTCTGACGAAGTGAATAAAAGAAGAGCCCCTTGTCCATTTGAGAGCTAAGCTTGAACTGAACATTTCTTTACCTTCTAAAATGTTCAGTTAAGTGCTTTTACACTTCAATTTTCCAGCCTGGACCAAGACCAGAAATGCCAAAATGATATGAGAAAGGCTGTTCTTACTGTTTTTCTGGCTGGGATTGGAAGAGAAAGTGCCAGCAATCTTGTAAGAAGCCTGTTCTCGAAAGATCTGCAACCCAGTTTGCAGAATCAAGGGGTTTGGATAGTTCAGATGAGTTTGGCTGGGTGTCCTGGTGTGCTCATCTGAATCACACCCTGCAGAAAGCATTTTGTCTTATCAAAGTCAACCACAGAACACTTTGTGTACTTCTTCAGACATCTTAACCATCATGTGTGCCCATCCAGATAAACCGCTAAAGGCTAACTGAACACTGCCAAATTGAAATGTTTGAGTGTGATCTCTACAACTAGGTATCAGATTTCAATATGAAACAATAAAAATAGTAATCACAGTGATAATTTTGTAGGATGTTTATAGAACTGGCTCCAAAGTGCATCAGAGTCTTTAAAACTACAGAAGACATGAGAGAGAGTTTAGCCTAACCCTTCATTTTATACTTTAGGAACATAAGGTTCAGAGAGGTGATGTTATTTGTCCAATTTCATGTAGCAAAATAGAGGCAGAGTCCAGCCCGGAAAATAGAATCCCTTCTTCCTTACAACACATCATGATGTACACTGAGTGCTTTGCTCTTTATCATATATGAGCCCCCAAGGAAGAAAAGTAGCTATAAAGTTCCTATGTGGTCATAATATGGCAAGTAAAAGGAAATTCCTTATACGCACTGAAATGGAAGACCACTATTTCAATATTTAGGGCTGGGGTGCCAAACAATCTATTCAGGTCTATTAAAACTCCTCATTGATATGTTCATTTTAGTATACACTCATTTTTTTTGGTACCATTACATGCTAGAAGTTTTTCTTTCTGAAAAAAATGATATTGTTAGAAAAATCTTGCAAGGAAAGAAGTTAGTGCTTTGAGGACCTAAGTTGGGAATTCTCACTCAGACATGTCTATTCAAGAATCAGCAGCGGAAATAACTGTGCCTCATGACCATCTGACCTGGAATTGGGCAGGAACAGACAGCCTGGCTGAAGGGGGAAGATGTGGAAGCAAATGCTGTGTATGGGCCCCCAGAGAGGATCAGGGTCAGTATCCCAGAGTGAAAATCCTGGCCCAATGGGGCCCAGGTGACCTCAGTTGTAGGCAGATTTGCCTGTTCATTGTCTGCCTCCACAAAAAAAATGCAATGGTTGCTCCATGGTTTCTGTTTTATTATTATTATTTTTTAAACAAGATCTGCTTAGCTGGTGATTTGATTCAAGATAGTGTTTTAAATATAAATAGCATTTGTAAAAATAATGATTGACCTAGTTCCCTTATTGGCAAAAGTGGGGTTTGTGCTCTACCATCTCCAGGTCCCCTCCATAGCTAACCTACTAGAATTCTATGAATCAGGACCCTGTTGCACACGTCCTCTTTCTCAGCCAGGCAGCCAACCAGCCACTCTGTATTCCATATCACATGTATTTGTGTAACAACAATGTTACCAGGAACTGGCACGAATGAATGGAAATACATCTCCAACCATGACTACGTCATATCATCTTAACAAGTAGGAAAAGTATTTCTATATGCATATCATGTGCACTACAGAGTCTCTGTGATGGGAAACACTTGACAGTTATGATGAAATCTGTGATGACACAGACATGAAGAACTTTGGCGACCACTGCAAGTGGAGCTCAACCTTGCCAGTACCATGTATTCTTTATTACCAGGCTACATTCTCACCTGCTGGAGTAACATGAAGGACTCTGTGCTCCAAACCACAGCTGGCAATTTACTCTTAAAGCATTTAAATAAAAACTGAATCCCTCACAGCTTGGTTAACATAAGCACAATGACTTTTTCAGAATGCAGTGGAAAGACATGCTCTTCCTAAGATGACAGTACTACAGTTGACTTTACTCGTTTTATTTACTATCCTTCGTTTCATTTAGTAGATGTCACAAGACAAGCAATTTCTACTAATGGGAGTATTGAATGGCTTGAAACTGGGCTTTCAAATGAACCAGCTGGATCAGAAATACTATTTATGTACATACATGTACATCCTATGTGATGACAAACCAAGTCCACAATACACATTTTTTCACAGTGTACAATCTTACCTAATTCTCTCCTCTTTAAATAGCTGTCCACTTTACTGTGGAGTTTAAGGGAAAAAACACAAAACAAATTTTAGGCATCAGGCCTTATTGTGAAATACAGTATACATTAGCAACCTATGAGCTCACTTATATGAAGAATTCAAAATAATCAGACTCATAGAGGCAAAGAATAAAATGGTGGTTACTAACAGCTGAGGGCAGAGGGAAACGAGGAGGTGTTGGCCAAAGGTTATAAAGTTTTAGTTATGCAAGGTGGTAAGTCCTAGAGATCTACTGTGTGGCCTATTGCATATAGTTAACAATGCTCTTCTGTGTATATAAACATTTGCTAAGAGGGCAGATCTGATACTGTGTTCTTATCATATACCGAAAAGAAAATAGGGCAGGAGGTAACTTTTGGAGGTGAGGTGATGAATAAGTCTGTGGCATAGATGGTGGTGATGGTTTAACAGGTGTATACTTATCTCCAAACTCATCAAGTTGTATACCTTAAATAAATATAGCTTTTTGCATGTTGAAAAAAGAAGGAAAGAGAGAGAGAGAAAGAAAGAAGAAACCTATGAGGCTAAATAGGAGCCCACTCCCTGTTGGATCCCCAAAGCAGAGACTCCTCGCTCACCTGGGGCCTCTGCAGAACGGGCCCGGGCGTTGGAGTGAGGAGCCAGCAGGAGCAGGGAGTTTCTGTGGGCTTCAGGTGGTTGCCACCAGCAGGTTTCCGGGCAAAAGTGCAACAGGCTTCTGATGGATGAGTCATCCTCTCACCTCTCCTTCTTTAGCGCTTTCTCTCTCCAAGTCCTCCCACTGGGATCCCTCTCTCCTCTGGCTGCTGGGCTGTCTTCACATAGTCCTTCCCTTTCCACAGGCTTCTGTATTTGCACCCCACCCCCAACTCCCTTCTCTTTCCTCCAGTTGAAAATACCCATTTCTCAGTAAATATAGATTGTTCTTTAAGAGATTATTAGATTAAAGAATGCATACCGAGTTTCAAGATACTTGAAATGTACCCTGAATTTACCTTTTAAAAAAAGCAGATTATTAAACCAAACAAATGTAAAACTAATATGGAAATGTTTCTAAGTAGGAAAAGACTCCCTGTGTCTTTGCTACTCTGACACCTACTGTGATGTCCATATATTTCCAATAAATTAAAAAAAAATTAGTGCCCAATAAGCAGTCACTTTACTCTTAAAACTTTGCAGACTGTCTTTCCTGGCCCTACGAACGTCTGGTGAGGATGGAGGGTTGTGCTTTCAGATGCTAGGAATTGACCAAATCAGGTAAATAAGACTGAAATACCCTACTTTAAAAAAAATAATAGTTGTATTTTATGTTTATTTAATTATTAAAATAAGTAATAGGTTCACGTGGTTTAAAAATTTAACAAGGGTAAAAATGAACACAATAGAAGTTTCCTTCTCATCAGTCCCCCATCTGCTGGTTTCCACCCCTGCACCAAAATAGATAACCTCTGTTATCAGTTTCTTGTGCAGATTTCCAGATATTTAATAAATGTTTGTGTAAGCAAATGTTAACACATTCTTTTCCCCGCTTTTAAAACAAGTACAGCAATTGCTGTCCGCACTTAGGTTTTTTTCCCATCACTTAACAATACATCTTACGTATCTTTACATATGGGTACTGTGGAACTTCCCTATCCTTCAATTTTTTTTATTATGGCTGAACAGTATCCCATTATTGCTTATGCTGTGATTTATTTAAACAGTTGGCTATTGATGAACTTCTAGATTGTTCCAATCTTTCGCTTATTACAAAAACTGCTGCAGTAAATAACCCTGCACATTCATGATTTGCCCATGTGTGAATATATCTGTAGAATAAACTCCTAGAACTGGAACTGCTGAGTCAAAGAGTATATGCATTTGTAATTTCAATAAATATTGCCAAATTGCCTTCCAGAATGATTATACCTATTTACACTCCCACCAGCAATGAATCACTGCTCCCGTTTCTCTGTATCTTGCCAACCCTAGGGGTTGTCAAATTTTTGGATTTTTACCAACATGATAGTGAAATCTGGTATCTTGATGTAGTTTTAATTTGCATTTTTTTCTGTGTAGGAGTGATTTGAGCATTTCTTTCATATGTTTATGAGTCATTTATATTTCCTTTTCTGTGAACTATTACTCACTTTTCTAGTTTTTTTTTTTTTTAATTTTATGGTCTCTATATAGATTAGAGAGTTTAGTTCTTTGTCTGTATTGTAAGTAGGATAAATTACAAATATTTTTTCCCAGTTTGTTGCTTATCTTTTTACTTCAAAGAGTTGTTTTAAAGACTGAATAATGTGGATAACTGCATTAGTGTTTCATGTCATTTTGCTGCACACACAACTATGGATGAAGGTAGACAGATAAATAGATTGTGTATATGTGTATGTGTTTGTATAGATTTTTTTTTCTTAGAGCATAAGTAATACCATACAGGCAACTCATGCATTTGTATAGAGAGTCAACTCTTCCTGTAGGCAGAGGAGGAACACAAGCATATTCTCCAAAAGAGGTTCAGAATGTTTACCGAGTGGCCTCCTGTGCAGTGTTCATGGACATTGGCACTAGGGATAGAAAAGTGACTGAGACATTGAAGCTTTACGTGAAAAGTTCACAGTTTGGCAGCCATGGTGAGGAAGTCGGATGTTCAAATAAAGAAATATAACAGAGTAAAAGACAAATATAAACATGTAAGCAGAATTAAAATACAGCAGGAGAAATGTGTACATAGCTACGAACATGGTGGTAAGGGAGTACGGAGGATGGCTGATTGACTGTAACCTCTATTTGTCAATAAACCACCGTATCAGTCAGGGCTCAGTGCAGAAAAGAGACGCTGCTCTGCCTGTTTCAAACAGAAAGGAATTTAATACAGGGGATGGTGAGTTCACAAAACCACTGGGAGAGGACGGAGGAATGGAAGTCAGGCAGCTGCCCTGGACTTCTGGTTTCTGGTTATCCCACTGCCGCTGCAGTTGAGCAACTAGGGAAGCGTTGCAGCCCAGGCTACTGGTGCTTCTAGTCTGGCCGCCTCTCACCCAGGACACTGATGAGCAGAGAGGAGAATATGGACCTGTCACTGCTGGCACGCGTGACTGTCAGAGCTTGCTTGTCAAGTGCACTGCCACAAGGAGGTGGTCTCCCCTGGGCTTCAGATCTGTCACAAGTACATCTCTTCGGCCAAATCCAGAATACAGCTGGAACTCCTGCTGTAAGGGAGCCTGGGGAAATGCGGTTTTATTTCTGCCAGTGCTTGTAATTCAGGGGGTGGCCATGGATGTCAAGAGGTCAGACACAATTTCAGTCACTCTGGTAAGAATTTATGAAGCAGGTGACTAAAGAATGGGTACATTAAATCGATATATTTTGTCCAGGTCAGGAAGAAGCCCAGGAGAATTCTAGAAAATAGGATTTACAAAGGAGTCCACCTGGCAGGAGACCTGGTAGTTGGGAGCGGGAAGATTGAGGACATGTGACCGTAAAGCATGGATGGAACTGGGAGAGCTATTAAAAGTGTGGTTGGGAATGTTAGGGACAGTTCAGTTGCTTTTCATTATTATATAGGCATATACAATGATGGTAGGAGTAACAATAAAAACAACATATGATTTATTTGATTTACTATTAAATCACATGAAGATGTATCAACATAATGAATGTGAAAACCTCTAGTAAACCTCAATGCCCTAACTATAAATGATACTGCTGGTAGGTCTTCTCATTTATATATAAGGAAACAAGTTTGAAAAAGTTAGTTTATCCAAACTGATTTCACTGTGTATTAGAGCTTGAACTCAGTCTTCCTTTTTTCCTCCCTTCCATCTTTCCCATCCCTCCTATTCTCCTTCCGTTCTTCTCTCCTGTGACTTACTGAGCATTTACTATCTGCTAGGGTCTTTGCTTAGATGCTCAAGGCAAAATCCTTTTCCTCAAGGACGCAGTAGCCCCCTAGTCTGTCTGATGTTCATTCAGGATTTTTTCTTATTGTATAACGCATGCTTCCCAGAATTACAGTAGGAGCATTGGGTTCTATTAGGACGCTAGCCCCTTGTGTCCTGTTTGGAACACACACACAAACAAGGCATAGACCTGTTCTGACGATGGGGTAGTAGACTCTAAACTCAGCCCTGTAGAACTCAGTTGTAGCAGTAAACACAGTTCCTTGCTGGTAAACGGGTCATATATAGAATTGCCTACATGTATATGGGCTATAAGATTTGACTCTTGGGAAAAAATAAAACGAAAGACTAAAAAGGCTATGAAATATCTCCAGGGTATTAAAGTGAAGCTAACCACATAAAAGACACATGACATTTGCTGTGAATAGATAGACTGAGCATTTTGGTTCTTGTGCTGGTTTTTAGCTGCCAGTGATTCTTGTGGCAACAATCCAAGTTTTCAGGACACTATCACATTTTTAAGTTTTCCTAATGAATTATAATAACATTTCTGTAGTTTACATCAAATCGTGTTGAATGGCATTTTTAGCAAATTGTGTCGCTGTGAATTTCCAAATTTTACGGAATTTCTTGTGCCAAAAAATAATCAGTGAAAATGATTTTATGTGAAACTTTTTGAAAGCCAAGTTTAGCTGATTTTGCTAAACAGCACAAGCAAACAATTTATTCCGTCTTTCTCCAAGTCCTTTTTCTGTGCCTTGTTCTCTGCTTCCAGGGCCCCCTCCCTCTTCCCCTCTCTCAGCTTCTTTCACTTTGTTTACTGGCCTTTGTTTCTGCTTCTAGTTCGTCTTTCTCTAACATTATCAGCCCTCCCTACATCCCTCCTCCTGTAGCCATAACCAAGCCTTGGGCTATGATTTTGGGTTGAGGGTCACAGAGGTCATGGATTTTCTGCTGAAAGAAAGAAAAAAAGGGGGGGGGGAGTGGAGAATGATCACTTTTGCTCTCACGTCTGCCCTTGGTGCTGAGAAATACATCTGAGAGTATCCTGGTGCACATTATCACTGTGGGATTGAGACAAACACAGTACTCAGCACGAGAGGCCACACTCATGTTGCTGAGGATAAAAGAATGTACTCCGATGTGCCTGGACTTGGGGTTTGAGATCCTCGCGTGCGGGTGGTTAGACTGCCTCGGTAGATGTGTGCGTGTGTCCTTCTGCTCTGTTCTGTTTTCCAAACAGGGAGACAGTCACGGGGAGTGAAAACAGCGTGTGTGCTGCAGTCAGAGTTCTGAGGCTGGAGTCCTGGCTTCCCAGCCACTTAATCTTCCCGAATGTCAGTGTTTTCTGTTACCAAATAGGGAAACTAGTTACTTGCCCAGCTATAACAGTATTGCTATTAATGCTGGGAACATTAATTGAGTATTTACTATATGCCAGGTGTTCTGTTAAATACTTCTTTGCCCCATCTCAAACCCCTTTCCAGCATTAGGTAGTAGCAAAATTATCCCCGTTTTATGGATGAGAAGACTGAGGGAGGAAAACACTGCATTATTTACTCTAGGCCATGTAGCTAAGAAGTGGGGCTCAGTCTAATTCCAAAGCCCTTCTTTGAACCATGACACTAGGGAGATATGAGAATTAAATCACCTAACAGAGTGTCAAATGTATAGAAGTTTTTTTTTTTATGTCAAATCGTTTTGTTTAAGGTGATAAATGACAAGAGGCATAAAGACAGCTCCAGTTCCTAGGTTGGCTTTTTCAGAATGTTCTCTCCTATCGCCCTTACGTGGGCACACACCAGACCAAAAGAATGGTGACTTAAGTCTATGACCCAAATCATGGGGCGTATCAAGTCACCGCCAACCCTATTTCTTTGACCACATAGAAAATGTGGCAAACCCTGTAGAAAATAGCACGACAGACTGCAACTGGGGCACTATCTGGTCTCAGATCAGAGCCTGCAGGAAGGTGTCGTGCCCAGCGGGAATGGAAGTGGGAGATGGGGCTGGAGCCAGAAACACTCGGCTGCCAGTTACTCCTCATAGTGCTCCTAATGGAGGCCACCGAAGCTTACGGAGACTCTTGCAGAAAAGCCACATAATTATAGGCTGGCACTATATTCCAGCCTCTGTGGCTTCCGTGTGTGTGTGTGTGTGTGTGTGTGTGTGTGTATGAGATCCTAGGTTGTATCTGGCACACATGCTAATTTCTACCTGCTGAATACAACTTGGTTTGTAATAACTGACGCTTTCAGGAACTTTCTCAGCAACTCACCTCTGGCTGAGATTCTTTTCTAAACCATGTGACGCCAGATCGACATAAACATCTGATCGGTATGTTCTGCTTCAGGAGAATAATGAGTCTTC